CCAGGTTGCGGGCTCAGTTCCCAGTCAGGGGTGTGCAGGAGGCAGCCGATCAATGACTCTCTCATCATTGATGTTTCTCTCTCTCTCTCCCCTCTTCTTTCCTCTCTCTGTAATCAATAAAGATATATTTAAAAATATATAATATATATATATATATATTACTTTCAAAGCTCCTCCCATCTGCTGTGGTGGTGTCATGGGGTTCGGATGGTCCAATACAGAAGCTCAGGCCTTGCAGAGATGGGAACACAAAGTGCTGTGGCTCTTACTATTGCTAGGGGCCAGAGTCCTTGCTGTGCCCTTTGCTGTGTGGACTCCTACTGAGCTGTGAGATTCGTATGAAATCAATGGAACTTCCATGAGAGTTGAGAAAATACCCGGGAAAAAGTTTTGGGTCTTAGGGAATTTTAGCTGATTTTTAGAAGTTTGGTCCAAAGACTTTTTCTGGAACAGATACTACCTGAATGGGAACATTAGGAAATAAAAATCTCCTAGGAAAACAATTTTTTATATCTTGAAATAAATAATATCTGGAGACAAAGTAACACAAGTTAAAATATGTACATTTAAAATGCATAAATATACAATTTATTTAAAATTTCTTATGTTCAACAATAGGGGGTTAATTAAATTATGATACATCCTCATGCTAGATTACCTGGCAGTCATTAAATATTCTATTTTTAAAAGGATTTTAAAAGACATGGGAAATGCATATGGTACAAAAAGTTACAAAGCAGGTTATAAACTATGTAAGCATTAAAGACACAGTTGTGTAAAAATAGGTATAGGAGAAAGACTGAAGGCCCAGCCACATTAATGGTGTAATTTTAATGCATTTTAAATTTAAATGCTTAATTATTGATTTTGAAAGTTTGGTTTGATTCCTGTTCAGATCTTCCTGATAATTTTGTAAAGTCTCTTATTGCTTGCTAATTTAAAAAATACATGTTAAAAACATTTCATACATATTTTATATTCTTTATATTAGCATTACTTCAATATTGAAATTATCAGGACACTAAATCTATGGATTTTGGGTGATTTCACTTATACCTGCTGTTTTCTTGTGCATTTGGTGATTAAAAAAATTTTTTTGGTCAATATGAAGTCAGTCCTTGGCTCAACTTGATCTCTAGGAAGCATGTGAGCCTCAACTAGGGATACTTTCTTTCAGAGGATTTGTGTTTGCTACAGCTGGGAGCTGGGACTGGGATGCTGCCCACCTAAGACCTCTTTAGCTTATTTGGAGGATCCATTCTAATGCAGATTCCCAGATTCAGCTCCCCCAACTCATAGCATTCACAAAACACAGCCACCCAAACCCTGTCCTGATACTGGAATTTATGCTCAGGTTAACTCCAGATTCTGTGTTTTTCTTGTTCACCCCTCCAGCTTTAGTTTCATCTTTCTGTCCCTTCTTTCTGTTTGTCTCCCTTTTAAGATTTCCCTTGCTTTCCCGTGTTCCCCACATTGCATTAAAAACTTGTGGTGGCGGTGGTTTCTCTGGGCTCAGTGTGTGCGTAGCCCTCCGTGTTGCCAAACTCTGACACCCCAGCTCTTTCCGCCTTCAGCAGCACCCCCGGCTCTCAGGGCCTTTATTCTCACGCAGGCTTCCTGAGCACTCACCACGTGCCAGGCTCTGCACTAGCTGCTGTCGGCAGTAATATTCTTGTCTTTGAGAGCTTGGAATCTGGTTAAAAAAATGGACATGCACGCCAGAAATCATTCTACAAGGTAGCGTGAAATATGTGCTAAAATAGAGGCACGACCATGGTGCCCGGCAGAGGCTACAGAGTGAGGGCTCCACTCCCGCTGGGGAGAGCTGTGAATTGGAGGCTCTCAGGATCAGGCTCATGCATTGAACATAAGCTTCCATTTCATAACCGTCCAAGGCTGGGCTGCTGGACAGGAGTGAAATCAAGTCTCTTTCATGTGAGGAGTGACTGATGTGAAGGGCACAGCTCACTGCGGAAATCTGAGGAAACGTTCCAGACAGCCCACGCCGCTCCCCTGGCCACAAACCTCCACTTGTCCTCGCGAATTATTTAGAAGGTGCATGGCTGAGAAAAGGTGGAACACATTTAGGCACTTCAAATATTTCTCAGGGAAAAAATAGCCAATGCTGCTTCTCCCGTTAAAGGGAACTTCTAAAGTGACTACTGTTTGTCTACTGATGTTTTCCATTATGACCTTATTTTAAAAGGACTGTAACTTGACTGTAAAAATTCCCTCTAGGTGTAAATTTGGCATCCTAGAATGCCCCCTTTGAATAATGTGTGCCTTAAAAAACAAAAGAAGAAAAAAAACAAAAGCAAAAGCAGATTTGGTTTACATTAGCCAAACACTTTGAAAGTCAGAAGAAGACAGCAAAGCCATTAGTATTGGAGATAATTAACTCTCTCTATCGACGTTTGCATTCTTTACTGCATAAAAGATAAAAAAGGCAAGAAACCCTCCAAAGACAAAAGACAAACTTATTTTTCTTTCTTAATATGCAAAAAAAATATCCAATTTTAGATGAGAAGCTTCATGCAGTGTGCCCCAAAAGCTGCAACACAAAAGCAACATTTATGTCCATAAAGGAAAGAGTATGTTCTTTTTTTTTTTAAAGACAGATGCAGCTGTAAGAAGCCAGCTGGCTAAAGTGTGACCCAGTGTATGGGACTAGCGCAGAAGCAGGCGGCAGTTTTGTTATTTCTACTGAGTTAGATGAGCTCTACAAGGACAGTGAATTATGCTGTAAAAACGCCAATGGTCACCAGAGGGATCAATGTCTGTAATATTAAGCAGTGCCTGCTGGGCTTTAAAGAAGCAAAGGAAACGCTGAGGGACCGAGGGTGTGCCTCTCAAAGGGCGATCGCATTCTGCCTAAGACACGAGGCAGGAAGCCCAGCCGCTGTGCTCTTGGTCACCTCGGTTTCCGCATGAAGCTTTTTCGGAGTGCTGACTGTAATTCTAGTCATTCAAGATACATGCTCCCGGGTATGAATGAACGAGTCTGTTAGGTGCCTAAATAAAGAGAAAGCCATCTGAAGGAAGAGTCGGCTGCGTTGTATTGGCAGTGAGCCGGCGTGTGTCACTATAAAAGGGTGCCTAAGAATCGCCAAGGATGAATTTGATGATATGCGATCCATTTTCAGCTCATCTACTAGTTCTAGAACCAAACTGCTGTGTAAGATGTGAGTCTCTGTGTTGTGGTAACAGCAAAAGGAATATAAGAAAGTTTTATTCTTACCCTTTGAAGTCATTGAGGTGAACCCTGGCTGGTTTGGTTCAATGGATAGAGCATCGGCCCTCAGACTGACGCGTCCCGGGTTTGATTCCAGCCAAGGGCATGTACCTCGGTTGCAGGCTCGATCCCGGGCCCGGCCGGGGTGTGTGCGGGAGGCAACCAATCAATGTGTCTCTTTCACATCGATGTCTCTCTCACTCTCTCTTTCACTCTCTGAGAAGAGTGAGAATTAAAAATAATAATAATAAAGTCATAGAGGTGAGGAGGAAATGATGAAAATGGAGAGCAGATTAGTTGTTGCCAGGGGTTAAGGAGGAGGCTCTGGGCAGAAAGTTGTGTGGATGTAAAAGGGCAACATGAGGGATTCTTGTGATGATGAAAATAGTTTGTATCAATGTAGTTTTCTGTAGTTTGTATCAATGTCAATATTTGGGGTGTGATAACATATTCTGGTTTTTGAAGATATTACCATTGGGGGGATGGAGCTGGATAAAGGGTGCATGGACTTTCCTGTACTTAAAAAAAAAAATAATTCCAGCTTTATTGAGATATAATTTTTGACATTTGACTGTTAATTAATTAGGCCATTACACTGAGATGACTGTAATGCCTTAGTAGACTACATAAACAAACCAAGACCTAAACCTATAATGCCTCAACTTTAGAAAATCAAAACCTAAAGACAACTAATCACAAGTAGCCAACCAGCCTTTTCCAAATAATGCAACTGTTTAAACTACAGCCAATCAAATTGTTTCATTGCTTTGCTTTCATCTCTTCTTTGTAAAAGCCTTCCCCTAGCTGCTGTCAGTGAGAGCTCCTATCCACTTCCAGTTTGGTACTACCCAATTCTGATAGACTTCTGTTCAACTAAACTTTTAGAAGTTTAATATGCCTTAGGTTATTTTTAAACATAACATATGGTGTACATGTGATGATTTGATATATGTATATATTGCTAAATGATCACCACAATAAGGTTAGTTAACATATCCACCACCTCATATAATTACAATTTACATGTGTGTGGTGAGAACTTTTAAGATCTATTCTCTTAGCAACTTTCAAGTATATAACACACTATTGTTAACTATAGTCACCATGTTGTATATTTTAGCCCCAGATCTTATTCATGAGAGTCTATAATTATATCAAAATAAAAAGGTTGATTAAAAACAATGCCAGGTCCATTCATGCTGTCAGAAAAGTTAAGAATTCCATGGACCTGGAGATTTTATCATGCTAAGTGAAATAAGCCAGACTGAGAAAGACAAATACTGTATCATCTCACTTCTATGTGCAATCTAATGAACAAAATAAACTGACGAACAAAATAGAACCAGAGACATGGAGATTAGCCAAAGAACATATATGCATAGCTCATGGACGCAGACATCAGTGAGGTGATGAAGGGGTGGGGGGGGCTGGTTAGAGGAGGGAAATGGGGGACATCTGTAATAGTGTGAACAATAAAAAAAAAATAATACTAGGTTTACTTGAACAGTATATATAATAAAAAGTGAGAGTGGTAATAATGTGGCATCCTACAGAACAGGGATCAGTAAAGTATTTTTGGCAGGCCAAGTGTGGCCCACTGCCTATCTTTGTAAGTAACCTTTCATTGGAACACAGCTATGCTCATTAACTTATCTATTCTCTATGGCTGCATTTGTAATACAATGGCAAGTGGTTACAATGAAGACTATATGACCCACAAAGCCTAAAATATTTACTGTGTTGCCCTTTACAGAAAATAATTTGTGACTCCTGCTCTGGAATGCAGGCTCTTCAAGAGCAAGTGAAGCGTCCTGCCAGCTTGCTCGCCACCATGTGCCTGGCACACTGCCCAGCGCGTTGCAGGTGCACAATAATCATTTGTTGAATTAAGGAAGCAACGTATTATGAAAATGTGAGTTTGCCATGGAGAGGGTGATTGAAAGAATTAAAGAATTAAAAACATCGTCTTGGGACCATGACCGTACATTTTCCAAAGGCCAGGCAATTGAAAAACAAGGTAGCCTGCCTTTCTTGGGCTGATGGAAGAAGACTGCAGGTCTCATATAAACCCACAGTAGCTACATGAGACCAATGGAATGGAAAGAATTTTTAAAGGCACGAATTAGCTGTGTATAGGGTCTAATGTAATTCTAATTTACCATTAGTCAGGCATATTATTTCCTTTTAGGTATATAACATGTGGCAGGAGTCCAGCCTTTGAGGTATGTTTATAGTTATCACTCAAACTGATGAATTTGATCAGAGATTTCCACATGTTTATGTGGAAGGCATCTTATTACCTAATTATACTGACATCTCATTTGTTCAAGAGAAGAATCATTGAAAACAAGAGTGAGAAAATTCAAATGTTTAAGTTGGCTATTGTTTGGAAATTCTGGTTATACCATTGAAACTTTCAATTTAAATGGACTCTTTGAAGTAATGAAAGCAGGACTTGGAGCCAGACAAAACTGGACCTCTGGGCCAGGAACAACTTAGTTATCCTTGCTGTGGCTTGTCTAAAATGAGAAAATGAGTCCTGTCTCCTAAGGATGTCCTGAGGATTAAATAAGGGTGTGGGGGCTGAGGACCTGGTATACACCCACAGACACTCAGCAAGTGTTAGGGCCCTTTTGTTGAACTAAAAGAAAAGGTGGAAGAGGCAGGAGGAAGGAGGGTGACTGCAGAAAAAAAGACTGTCCCCTGAGTGACACCATCTCCTAGCTGTTTTCCTGGGGGTATTAGGGCGTTATTGCTATTGAGCCCGAAGCATTGTTGTGCAGTCTGTCTAAGTGATGGCCTGCATGATATTTCTGAAGGATCGTTTTATTCATAGCTGCCTAAACCAAACCTCTCTCCTTGGTGTGGCACATTGGGCAAAAGAGGAGTTTCCAATAAAACTCTCGTTTGCAGATGCTGGCCTAACGTGAAGACTGAGTGGCTGACAAAAGCCTGCTGACCGCGCCAGGATCCATTGATTTGGTTACTTGGTGTGCCCCTCCCCCTCCAGTGTTGGCATTCTGTCCCAACCCACAGGCAAATGGTGGCCAGGACTGTTTGATTAAAATGTTTTTATTTTAATTTTTAAATAACTTTGTGCTACAAAGTCTTCTTTGTGACAGGAGTTAAATGTTAAATAACAAAAATCCAAGTGAGTACATTTTAAAGATCTAATTAGCTTTTATTGAACGATTCATGAATTAGGCAGCCTCTCATCTAGCAAGGAAAAAGGCACTCCAAAGGGCTGTACAAAATGGAATGTTTTTAAAGACATAAAGGGGCTAAAAAAAAAAAAAAGGAAATTATTCACAAGGAGTGCATCATTTTAGGCAAGGCCCCCTCCTAAGGGAAACGGAGGCAGTCTATCAAGCGGATTATCTCACTAATGCTGACCAGGTAATTCCAGGCTGACAGATTAAAGGTTACATTTCTGGGAAGCCGAGTTGCAGTTAGGTTAAATATTAAATCTTGGTTAGCTGCTGATGTGGGGCTTAGCACAGGCTGCGCCATTTTTGGCCTGTTGTTTCTTTTTAACAACACAAAACAACAAGAAACAATATTATCCTGGAGACAGTGTTTTATACTTTCTGACACTGAGGGTTTGACCTTGAATTACTTCCTGCAGCAACTCTGCAGTTGCTGTTAGTTTTGCAGACTGCCCGTCAGTGACTGTGGCCGTTTTACGAATTCGGCATTGAGGCAAAATTATGATGAAGCCCGTTTACCACGGAGAGCAATTTATTATTATACTAAAACATATTTAAGGAGCAAATAGGACAAGAAGAAAGGTAGATAGAAGGTACTGTGATTATCTGGGGATTATTGCCTTACCTGAATTAGGGGGAAATAATAAAGCAAATAATAAAGACTGTAGACTGTCAGCTCTGGATAAGTAGCTAAAGTGAAAATGCAAACTTACCCGGTGACGAAACTGCATAGTGGCCCCCAGACAAGGCCAGTAGGGCACATACACCAGTTTTGCATTTTTAGGAAATCTTTTTAAATGATTCAGTGCAGCCAGTATTTCTTTCCCATTTTCTTTGGTAGCTCTATTTGTCATATTTGTAATTTCCAAGGCCCAAAGCCTCATTGCTAGAAAAATAATCCACCACAGAACTCCTGTTTTTCTGTCTCCCAAATGGCTATTAGTTGCACTCTGAATTATTTTACTCACTTTACCAATGTTGAATATTATAGGAAGAAATAGAACTGAGGAATGGTGTACTTCCAGCTGGTATGTTAATTGGACACTGTTTATTCAACAGCAGCATTAAGAATATAAAAACCTCATCACCAGTGCTCTCTGAAAAGCCTTTGCAAATAATAGCACTTATATAAAACTTAAGGCCTGAATGTTTCTTGTTTATGGGTAACATAGTATTAGCATATTAAAATCATTACTAACCCGTGCTGGAATACGTGTTCGGAAGCCTGTCAACGTGCTAATGGTAGTAGTCTTGGAAACTCCACATCTGCCACAGGATTAATTACTCACATAAAACATGATCATTTCCCCACATCTCCTCTGAGAAGGAGCCGCTGCTAGAGTGATGGATGGCCCTGGATGATATACAAAGGAATGGATGGGAATGTTACCCAGCGGATTGAGAGATCTGCTCTTGATTCACATTAAAACAAGTTGAAGGACCTCGGTGGTATAACATTTATTTCTTGAGGCCCATAGGCAATTAAAAAGAAATGTCTGGCACAAACTCTGGAAAGCAAACTGTTTAAATGGCCAGAACTGCCTCCCCCTGGGGCCTTTATGTAGGAGATGAAGTTGGAGGTACAGGAAGGTCACAGTGATCCTGGCCACCAGGGGTAGGTGAACTACCTGCTGTTTGTCGATACCAGGTCCTCCTGCATTTCTCATTTGCAGAATAGCTCAGAGGTCACGTCCAAGGCCTGCGTTGGCTTCTCTCCCTCGCGCCACACCAGGGTTCCATTTGGAGAGGATGGGGGCAAAGAGAACTGAAAGCACTTGAGAGACAATTTATTGTTTACAATTAAAACTAGGAGATTATAGTTCAAAGGTGAGAACCCAGCCTGCAATTAAGGCTGCTAAGGAGACTTAAACAAGCTATTATATGACAATTAGCACAAATGGGAACCGGAGGTAACGTATCGATTGTGTCCCCGAGCACCCCTCCGGTTGTCCATCATTCCAGTCAAGCCCCTTGATCAATCCCTAAACCACCTCCATTTTGCAATAAATTGGCCAACCTGGTTTTGGTTCTTCTGTGTTTCAGGTAAAAGCAAAACAGATTTTCCAAACAAAGCTAATCCTTGAGTTTAGAAAATTCATTCCCTTTCACTGTCTCTATCTTCCCTTTATTATCTGTAGGCCTCTCTTTTGGGGGACAGATTCCCACAATTGGGACTTGGGGGGTAGAGAGCTATAGCAAATACTAAGGAATCCAAGGTAATTTTCAAAGTCTTTCAGCATCAGTATAATTAGAGAAGCAATTACAGTGAAGTTAGTGGTAATTTAAATTGATCAGCTGGATATCAGATGATGAGTTGTTTGGAACTGGCAAATCTAATGAATATCTACTTGGTGAGTAGACTTGCCTTTCAGTAAAAAAAGATAAAACCTGGTCAACTGGTTGGCGAAATTCATGAGCCCATGAATCTGTGGAAATGCTATTTATGCAGGTGACACAAAACTTAGCATTGTGGGTTTTTCAGGGAGTGTAGCGTTGGAGGTGCACCCTGCTGTGTTCTCCCTGTACCCTCCCAGCCCCATTAAATTTCTCTTGCACTGATTAAAAATTTAAGTGCTCCTCTCTACAGAAGATCTGGGGAGAACCTACTAGAGGCTTACATTGTATTCTTATAGCGTTTACATCTTTATCTCGCTTGAGTATGTTTGTTCTTTTTTATTAGATCTGGTGTAGTCTGCTGGCATTCTGATTTTCCAAGGACTTACGTAAACCTGTCCAGAATCATCTTGGCCCTAAGGATGGAGGTAATAACGGAGAGAGGAAGGGAGGGAAAATGAATGGGAATGACAATGACAATGAATATGTATAGTTAGGAAATTATGAATTGAACCTGAAGGTGTGAGTGGTTGTTTGTTGTTATTGGGATCCCAAGAGCTGTGTTGAAACTTGAATTTTGTGGTTAAATCTTTGACATTTTATAGAATTCAAGAGAACCATTGGTATTGAGTTCCCCTAGAATTTTGGCTTGAATATGTTTTAAGTTATTGAAGTTAGAGCTTCAGAGGGGGTTCGCCATAGATTGTAAAATATATATATATATATTCCTTGGATCCTATTGTCCATGCATCATGCATCATTGACCTTTTAAGGTGACAGTGCTGCTACTTAAGATGCGGGAATTTTGTCTTATGTGTTTTTGATATGAGAAGTTATGTCCTGGGGGATTTAATATTGCCCCTTTTTGGCTTTAAGGCTGAGGAAGCAATAGATTTAGTCAATGTAATTTCTCAAGCCTTGAATAAAAACATTAAGAAAAGATCTAGCAGGAATTGTGGCTCCCTTTCACTCTCTCCTTTGTAATTCCAGTTATAGGGCTTATTATAATACATAAAAATCCTCTGAAGGTTTCGTCTTCTACTACATACTACTGGTGTTCAAAATCCATGTACGTATTTTCACCAGAAGCGCTAAACCTGTGAGAGAAGCAGGTCTGACGATTGAGTGTCTGGCTGGAAATCATTTACTATCGATGGTCACTCGGCTCAAGATTGTATCACTGAAATGACTTAGGAAGAAAAATCAATAACACTCCCATATTGTGCAGGCCTCTTAGAGGATCATCTGTTTTACCTCACAAAAGTGTCCCTTGTTCCAGATCATTCTTTTGAAATAAAAGAAGGAAAAAGATAATCTAAGTCATAGCTCACTTTCACTTATGGCCCTATTTTATTTTGGTTCCCTCTTTAGGGGGAGGGAAAAACAAGTCTCGTGAAAAAACAGGTAGGAAAGCTAGTGTGGGTGTACTTGTGTAATTCCAATTGTTTATTTTTTCAACTGAGACAAAAATTCACCTGTGGTATATTTAATAATGCCTCGATTTCAAAATTATTGGGCCAAGGAGGAATGGTTTTGTTCTCCTAGAATAGCTTTCATGAGTGGGGGATTGACTGACTTACACACACATACATGATCACACACAGGGCATGGTGGGTCACCGTCGCTCCTATTCTCAGATAGGAGTTCACATGGCCATTGTCCCCTGAATTTATTTCTTATATATTTGTCCTTGCCTAGATCTGAAACAATTTTGGAGCAGGGTTCTGATGAAATGAGTTGGCAGTGGGCCTATGCGATCTGGGAGAGGAACAAAATAACTTACTTGAGCATGAAACTGGAATCCATCTGGAGCACGCATACACCAAAAGCTACTTGAAGGAGTCAGCTGGACCAAGTTTTCCTTAGTTGCTCAAAAGGAAACGTGTAGAAGAATGGCCGAATCTTTAGGTGGATTTGGAACTCTCCTTGGTGCTGAGATGGCACCACCTGGGGCATGCTCCCCAAGTTGCTGATTTAAGTGTGCCTGATGGTTACACTAGAGCAATGGTTCCCATAGTGGGCTGAGTGCTATGGGGGTGTAGGGGGTTATTTTACAAGGAATAAGGCCACAACATTAAGTCAGTTTGAATTCGTAGTGAGAATGTTGTTCCTTTCATTATTACTGTCACCATCAGTGTTCATGTGGTTGTTAGAACCCAGATGCCCCATATTCTTCTATCTCTCTCCTCTTTGTTTTCTTTCCGTATTTGTTTTGATGAGATGAAAGCTCTAGGTATGCTTCTGCCTTTATTTTACATGCATCCCTGGATGTTGGTCTTAGAGGATTTTAGCTCTGGTTCCCACTTGAGAGACCTATTGCATACCCTGATAGAAAGCATGAAGGAATGATTCATTCGGTTCTACTCCTGTGCTCTGTTTTTGACACCTCTATTTTGCATTTGTTTCAGTGGAGCCATTCATCTTAATAATATCAAGCTCAGCTCATAGAAAGTCAGGGCTCACTTTGACTTTGGTGAACGAGCTTTCAGGGATTGCACAGTATCTACAATGAGTGGCTCCATTTCCAACTGGTAACAGAAGTGCCACTGTGCCAGTGAAAATGGTGCTGTTCTCACAGCTTCCTCTGTCCCAGAAACAGAAAAATTAAAGCACCGCAGCCTCTTCTGTTACAATGCATTTTATTTAATGTGAGTTGGCCGAAACAAAATTGGTAAATAGGGAATGATGTCAATATAATGCAAAAGTCATCAATGTGATTTGCCTAGCATTTTTCTAGGCACATTAATGTTTTGAAGTAATTAGAAGCAAGTTCCCTCATCATGAAAGAGAAAGGTCTGGCCAGATAGGAAGCCTTTAAGAAAAAAGCTGAAAATCCTGCAGAAGCCGATGCCCTTTGGTGCTAGGCTTGGCTGTGGTAGTGGCCTCAGGAATGGCTACATTTTTCAACATAAACTATCTGAGGAAGCCAAGAGTTCAAGTAAAGACCCCAACAAGATACTTCCTCCTGTGTTAAAACAAAGGATCTGATTTTCAATTTTGATGAAACTGGTCTCTGTTAAAAGCACATGCCTTCAAAGACTTACACCTGTAAGGAGGAAGTTGGGATGAAGGTTTAAAACTGCAAATGATCAACTGACTGTGGTGCTGGGTGCTGAGGCGGTTTCCGGTTACCCATGCCCGTGTACTTATGAGTGGTGGTATTCTTTTTGTTGGGGCTTTAATGAGAAAGTTACAAAGATTTTGTCTCGAGTTCCCCAACACTGTTTTCCCCCAAAGCACCGTTATTTTCAGCGTGCAATTGGGGGGTGTCCATGGAGTTATCACATGGAGAAATGCCTGTGAAACATCCTGAGTAGTTCAAATTCATTCATATCCTTGGGCATGAATGTAACCAGTCTTTCACCAGAACAGAAAGGGAAACTCAAGATAGCACTGTTTAGAAGATGTTGCAGTGAGAAGTGCCTGGCCAAGTCCAAGGGCCCCCAGCATTCAGCACGTGGGCACATACATTCATGATTGAGGTGGGCTCTATGTTCTCCTTCCCATCCCATGGAAGAAAGATGCTGCTGGCTGGGTTTAAGGTGATTTAGGAACCTTCTGATCCAGGAGAGTTAGCCTTTGCTCCTCAATATGCCGTCCGCTTGTTTGAGATCCAGGTAACCCCTCTCGAGTGCAGTGCCCGCTGCATGGTCAGTGCTGCTGCGTTTCTATCTAGACACATCAGAAAAAAAGATGCTGGAATTTTGGCAACATGGAAAGTAGCGTGTGTGCCGCTCAATCTATATTAATATTCTCTATGTCAACTTCTACAAATAAAGAGAACCAGATTCCAGTTCCAACTCAGCCACTAATGAGTTGTGTGTCATTGGTCACTTGACTTCACCCCTCAGGTCTGTCTCTCAGAAACTGAAAATGAGGTTAGCCTTTTAACCCCAGTGCCCTTTCTTGGCCTGGCATGTAAAGCACCTGCCAGTTATTCTGCCCCTTTCTGTGAGGTCTCAGGATCACTGGCACACTCACTGTCCCTCTTCTGTGTTTGACATCTAGGGTCTGGCCGGGGATTGCTGCTCTATGCAGTGACAGCCAACTCATAAGCTGGCCTGTGGCCTCCCAGGGATGTGGCCTGAGAGCTCAGCCCAGCCCCTCCTCATGAGCTGGCCAATCAGCACTGCCACTTGAGTAGCTTGAATTCCAGACCCTCAGGATTGGTTTCTAGCAGCAGGAGCAAGTGAACCAGAGACCCAGCTACAGAGAGAGTAGCTGCATCACCCACCCCCATGGAGCCCTGGCTTGGGGAACAGCAGAAGTCAGCCGCCGAGGGGACAAGATGGCTCGAAGGCTGGTTTTGCATTGTGTCATGGGTGATGTTCTGGTCTCTGTGAGACTTGGCTGAGTTGAATTTTGACTTCCTAGCTTTCTGGTGAGTTCTCATCTAAGAGTATGTTTTACTACTGCCTGAGTCAGGGCTGAGGGCAGATGGGGGTGGAGACGGGGCTTGGGGAAGTTTGAGCCCAGTTTCACCCACATACCTGTCCTCCTTTGAGGGTTCATAAGCGTTCAGGGTTATAGACACTTGGGTTAGATGATGGGGATGAGATTCCCATGGTTTTCCAAGAGGGTCACCAAGGATGTGACTGCTGTCGGGTCAAAGCCCTTGAGGGGAGAACGGGGAAGGAGAAGCAGCATTGGGAAGGGAGCTGCATGTTCAGAATGGGCACTGGACAGTCTGTGGAGGCTGGTTGGTTGGTTCTCAGGGTCTCCAGGCTGCTGCTGATAGAGGGCATATTGAAGGAGGAGAGGCCCAGCGGGCCAGGGAACCTGATGTCACTACTGCCTCATGGTCACTCCAAGCCCCTCCTCACTGCAGGCCTGCACACGCCCCCTCCATTTGGTTCTCTCCTCACCACCCCTCTCTCCCCCACCCTTGGGAAGCCCAGTGTTATCTTGGTGTCTACATAGGGGAAGAAGTTAGTACTTTTAATTCCTCTTGCTTTTTGAATATTTTGAGCCCTGTCTCTTCCTGTAGGTCTAGGATACTAGAACCCTGAGCCCTGATCCAGTCAGAGATTTCTTTTCCTTTGCTTTTTGTCGCACTGACCCTTCCTGGAGGCAGTGAATGTCGTGGGCCTAGCTGCTTCATTGAAGATGAGTCAGAAGAGTGAGGTTGGTAGGGGAGCCTACGCCATAATGAAGAAGGGATAGAAATAGTTCTGGTTAATTAACATGTGCAACAAACCCCATGACCTTTTGGAAGGCACCCGAGCACATGGCTCTTTTGTGCATCCTGAAAGAGCCTAATATCCTTTCTGTGAGTCTCTATAGAGCAAAAAGTAGTTTCCAAACCCCAGTGAGTGGGCCATCTATTTCAGGTAATATGAGAAGTTATAGTATATCTAAGTTCCCCTGGGAGGCCTTTGAAGTTTGTTAAGCTATGACCTGTAATACTGAAATGGAGAAGGGTAAATGG